CCCCCCATTCAACGCCTTTATATTCCTAACTGCAGTCGGGGAATTTTCACAAAACAGTCACATGTCGTCACATTATCGGCCAAAGTGACCCCCACCCCAAAGGGAGGTCACTAGATATTCAAGGCAATAAAATGACTGCATCCCTTCCTCCCTTTGCAAAGGTTCATGTAAACGCACACTCCGTATAAACACATGCTAAGGAGCCCTCCCGAGCACCATGCGTTTAGGCGGAGACTACTGTAACAAAGTCATTATCCATATCTAGCAGGCCCCAAAGAGAATGCAGTAAATGTTGGTTGAATTAGTATTTACAGTCAAACCTCGTTGTACTGCGCCCCCCTCCCCTGTTGTACCGTACCTCCAGCCCTGCTTACCGCCAGGTTTTGCCAATGTACAAAAAGAATCCTGTATATATAAACATAGTATTTCACCTTTACACTGCCATCCGCCAACTATTTCAGTTTTGTGGTCCTTATTAAACTACTGCAAATTTACCTCGTTGTACCGCCAGCGAACTGGCTGCCAGAACTACACAGCACACTCTTGGCTATACTCAGCGCACGGCACATCCATATCAGACAAGTCTCTTCGAGCCAGGCCTAGGTGTAGACCAAATGCTTTTTGCCGATTTGCTCCCTCCCCGCCCATACCACCACCCCACCCTTGTGGTGTAGATTTCAGGCTATATGCCTAAAGAAACTTTAAAGAAACCCTGCCATCTCGACCTCCTCCTTCCCGCCAGATATCAACCCAAAATGGTTAACAGTCCGGCATATGCTCGTGGGGCTTTTATTTAGTGAGGACTCACGCTTAAGTCTAAGTGAAAGATTGTTGGGCACTTAATGATGCAGAAGACATGAAAATCTTTCTGTACTGCCAACTTCATATTCATCCCAAAGTTGGCATTCAGGCGCTCGTCAATTTTGGGCACATGGGATTATATGTATCATCTTAAAGTAGTCTGTTCATTTGCCTTCCTTTTGGTGAAAAAAAGTATCCATCTATCTTGAACAGAAGTCGGAATATTTGCCATTAGAGGAGGTCAGGGTTGCCTGGCTTCAGAGATAAAATTTGTGAGAAAATGGCCGCCAAAGTTTGGTGACTTCCATAGCCTGAGAGTCCTTGGAAACGGAAAATTTACATTTTTATATTTTTTTTGCCTTTAATCAAAGTTTTTCATTAAAATCCACCAAAAACGTGTTTTTAAAAGGACATTAACCTTTTCACCCTCAGAGCTATCCCTGCCCAACAAGGCTGAAATTCTGGCAAAAGGGACCTAACTCTGCTTAGACTGCATGACTATATTATTTTTAAAAATCAGAGGATGAGTCTAAAATTACAGTTTAGGTGTCAGAGCACAGATAAATGAATAAGCTTCAAGAAAAGTATGGTTTTGTATGGAAAACCATTGTGTATTAGGTAAAAACAAATTCTGAAGTGAAAAAAAACCCCCAAAAGACACAATCCGCTTTTTATGCCCCCAGAAGTTCATGATGTTTTACCCAGCAGTCTTTTGCAAAGCCTAACCTGGCCCAAATTGCATCCTGTCACTGTCTCACTCCCTCTGCCAAGCTTTGTGAAGTTTCTGGTCTTTACGCAGTAGTGGCACGACCCCTTTCTACCATGTATCCTGATCACAATGTGCTCAAAAGAATTTGTTGTGACAGAGCCCACAGTCCCAGTTTTGCTCCTCCCTTTTTTACGTCGTAGTGCAGCTAGTAGTACTAGATCTAGCTAAAGTGCTGTGGGTGCTAGGCCTATCTTCTTCATCAGAGTCTTCCAAATTATCACCTCCAGCAACGATCTCACCATCAACATCACTATCATAGTTGTTCCCCTCCCCTAGAGCCTAGATCTAGACCTGTGACATCGTGTTCGCTCTCCTACTATAGCTCTCGCTCTCTCTCTCTCTCACGACTGAGTGTCCGAGTGACTACTTGTACTACTAGCACTAGATCTAGCCCCTTGGTCGACGATATCGGCCCTTAAATCCCAATTATAAGTGTCTCCATCGTATACAGTGCCTGTAGCAGCGCAAAATTTCATCCACGAAGTTAGATTTAGGTCTCTAAAAAGCACGAAATTTTAAAAAATCGCCGCTCTCGCGTGCTTCGATCGAATTTCACCAAATAAACACGACAGTAAAGGGCAACCACTCTAGATTCTCGCTATAAGCCCGGCAATCTCGTGTGACCTCGCAGGAAGCGAGACAACGTAGAAACGAAAGTGGTGCAAACGGATGAATCGAGTGGGCGTGTCGGCGCACATCGGCAACTACGGGGGTTAGTGATGATGGCGCACATCGGCGCCTCTGAGTTGCAAAAGGTTAAAGGTGCCAAAAAAGAAAATGAGAAAAAAATTGCACATCGGCCAAAAAATGACGATTTCTTTGACCATTATTCTGACGAGTGCCTGATTTCACCACGATGCCTCTTGTCACCTGTTATAAAGAAATGTGTAACCCCATGTGTTTGTGGCCAGCAAACTTATGTCTAAATCTCAAGACTGATGGAAAAAAAAAGAGCAAATACCTGTAGGCTACTGTATCTAGCTATACAAGGCACTGTCTAGGTCTGGGCACAGAGGGAGAGAGAGAGAGAGAGAGACAGAGAGAGAGAGAGAGAGAGACAGAGAGAGAGAGAGGGGGGGGAGGGGGGGGGGGGGAACGACATGAGAGTGAAGTCTTACCTTCAGTTTATCCAGCTCCCCCTTCAAAGAGTGATTCTTTGACTTCTCTTTTTCAAGTTCACCCGTTAACGATGTAACCTGCAACATAATAATATGGTAACAGTACAAAATTGCAATGATATCATCATTACCTTATCCACGTAATGACCAACAAAACATTTCATGAGCTACAATAAAACAAAGCATAACTATACGTTACAGGAATTGGAAATTCCTTCCTGTTAACTGCAGTGCCATTCAAACAGCACTCTTTGAAATCTTGCAGACTTGGAAAATGAAAAAAGAGAAAGCAAATATTCATAATAATCTCTATAAAGTTGGTTTCAAATTATACAGTGATATCCCTAGACTTATTAAACATTAATCAATGTTTAGTTATACTCTATTCTCAATTCTTTAAAAATTATCCTTTTAGGTTCTAAATTGAAGCCAGACCAAACTTTACCTCTAGACGAACAGGATCTTACCAGCCCAGTCACATCGTTTTGCTCATATGTCATTGGGTTTTATTTTTTGTCCACATAAAACTGATCAGATCAATTTCACAGGTCCAATATCAAAAAGCATACTGTTACTGTTCCTACTAGTAATTATTGAATTAAACAAAAGCAATATTCACTCTCAGAACATACAGAGTTTTTGCCTCAAAAGTCCATGGGAGGTGAACTGAAGTACATACTTTTTGCAAATAATATCTTAGAGAGATAACAGTATTCTTTAGGGCGCATGATTCCAAAAACATACCTGTTCAGTTAATTCATCTCGTACCACAGTTAGCTCATCAACTTGCAATAAAACCTGAGCCTTGTCTTTCACTGGAAAATGAAATGAAAAAGAGAAAGTAGAATGTTTAGTTTTCTGAGGGAGAACACATATGTAGCACTGTACAAAACAAACTATATTTCTACCAACATACTTTCAGTTGACCAGCATGGACACATTAGAAATGTCCTATATATGGTAACTGGAGAACAACATGAAACCAAACAATAAAGATTGTGATGTACAAAGAGTCAACACAAGATTCATTTTGACAGGAGGTTGTACATCCTTTCATTTGCATTTAAAAGTTGGAAGTGTCAAAACAGGACTCAGGTTGCCCCAAGCTATGCTATATAGTGTCTATAAATAGACAACAAGTAAAATTTTCTCAGCTTTCAGTTTGTTAAGACTTGTAAGAGTCTCCTATAAGTATTTCACAACAAATTTATAGAGTTGTTTTTCCCCCTTATTTACTTGGTAGATGTATCTCCTTCACCTCTATAATTTGCTACAAAGTGTGAGGAGGCCATATTTCCTTATATATCCCTATATCCGGCTGCCAATTTTTCAAAATCAAAATATAGACTAAACATGCAGAGAAGGTCAAGATGGTTGGCATTGGAAAAGTTATCACCCTCAAAACCCTTCAAACACACTTTTTTGTAGGCATAGCTATTCCAAGAAGACCTGCAACAATAATGAATAATGTCAGGACAGTCATAATGGTCTCTTCAATTGAATTATGAGCTTTTTTCTCATTATTATTTGCAAATCCAGTCATGGATGTGCATCATTTTTCTTCAGCATCAGCAAGCCCATGAGGAGCAAAATAAGAAATCAGAGAATACATTTCATATTTATCGACACAAAAATGTATTTGCATACTCAGACCCTCAGATACGCACTAAATACATTTTTTTCCATACAGGTTGGAAGCCATGTCTATGTAGTGGAAAATTCATGCTTAGTTTTGCTTTTGTCTAAGCAACGACATACTTTAGACAAAAGAAAGTGACATCTCTCAAAAGCTACAACACCATTTCAATAGACCACTGGACCAGAAATAAAACTTTTGTGACTTAGAAAACAATACAAAGTCTATTGCTTTGTCATATTATAAAAGACAGAAAAATCTGACATAATAGATCATAGCAATTATTTGAATGCATGAAAGCAAAAATGCAGGTGCCCCTCATCACTCAATTACTTACTTTCTCCCTGAGCCAAGATCACACAAAGCTGTTTGTTTCTTTTCTTGACTTGCTTAAGCTCAGCCTACAAAACAAAAATTGAAAAGATCACGCAATCTACATGAACAGTCTACAACAAATATAAATAAGGTTATTTTCTTGGGCATTGCATTTGTTTTAGTAGAGGGTTTACGGTGCTCGCAACTGCATAAGGTCATATGAGCGCCAGAAGATTAGAGGTGTTACAAGAGAGTAACAAACATAAAAAAGAAGAAGGGCAGACAAGAACGACAGATGTTAGAAAGGAAAGAAGAAGCAAACCACACCAGAGCACCTGCCAACCACCCACAGGCATTACATCAATGATTCAGTAAATATTAGAACTGAAAAGGACTCTGGATGCCTGAGGTTGCATGACAAAAATATAATACGCAACGAAAATATATGAAGTACAAAACAAAATAAACTGACACCTGCAGGTCAAGGACGCCACTATCACTGTGGCCTACCACAGACAGATACCTGAGACATGTACAAGTAGGATCTGTTGACAAAAAATTCTAAAAGAAAACAAAAACACAATGCTGCACTGAGAAATAAAAATGCAATGTTGGAATGACATTAAACACACAGAATTTAAGGAAGAACCTGTCACTGTCAACAAAGCCAGTAACAGAAATTATAATGTAAATAACTGTCTGGTCTTACAATACTGCATCAGGATCTTTCATGGAATGAAAGCAAAGCAACTGTGTATAGGATGGAGCCAAAAATTGATAAATATAGTAGAAAAAAAATGTTCAGTACAACTTGACAAGAACTTTTTCCTCCTCACGTGCTAGATAAGACTATATCTAATAGTTGTGTGGACAATTTAAGTCAAGCAAAGGTCCCCTTTCCATAGACACATAGATTCAGCAATTTCAGAAATAAAGAAATACAGTCGAACCTGATCTAGATGATCACCCATTGTCCACTAGAAAAGTGGTCATCTTAAGCGGTCCTCTTGGACAATGTCATTATAATATTGAGAGAGAAATGATGCAAGAGGGGAGTGGCAAGTGGTCGTTTGAACAGCTAATGATCTTGGACAGGTGATCATTAGAGCAGGTTCAATTGTACAAATGTTGCAGCTTCCCTACCTCCATGGCATTCATTTTTTCAGTCAGCTCCTTTACTTTCAAGTCCTTCCTCTCTAAATCATTCTTCAGCTTTGCAACAATAACATTGTCAGATGAAAAGTGCTGAAATGAAAATATGAAGGAATTACAAAATGAGAAGCACATCACAAAACAAAAATCGAGAAGCAACAAATACAAAGACACAAAGAGGACTGGCAGGAAATGATTTTTTTAAACTAAATGTCCACTACACTCAGTGTCCATCAAGCAAAAGGTGTTATCATTAGCATTCAACTATTAAAAAATATTTCATATCTGTCAAACTTTTAACAGTAAGGAATTCAGGAAATACAAGACTAATATTCATGTGCCTAAATCTAAGAAGTCAGCAAACATACACAATACCACATTTTAAATAACCAAATTAAGTTTGCTAGCTGAAATTTTCCGCATTATCTAGGCTACAAAATCTCACCTTGCGATATTCTTCCTGCATTTTTTCTTGGCGCAAAATCTGCTCCGCATCATCATCAACCGAGTTAAAAAATCGGGGGTCCTGTTGTGTTGCTGGAACACGAGTTTGAACATCAGACTCTGACTCTTTACCATTTTCTTCACCTGAAAAATAAAATGTTTCTTTTATATAATCACCATATTCTTTCAAATGAAGTATTGAAACATCATACCCCTTAAAGAATGAAAGAACAGTAATTTTAAGAGCCTGGACAACTATTCCTGCAGAAAGTTTATACAAAGTAAAACTCCATATAAAAGAAGGTAGTTTATAAAGAGAAAGACTTAAAAGAAACAAGAAAAAGCAATTTTCTACAACATTCCTCTCTTACCTAGCCTTCAAAGTCTGAAAATGCAAATTTGTCCCTCTTCAATAAAACCTTATCAAGCTGTGTCATAGTTCAAAATATACTTCAACAATTTTAGCACGTCTTTCACCAAATTGTTTCTGCATGACTTGGCCTTGGGAAACATGACTTGGCCTTGGGAAACAGGATAAGCTTTTAGGATATAAAATTCTATTCTTCATTTTTACTTTCAGTTTTGCATTGTTAATTGTTTTTTGAGAAACATTATATGCAACACTTCATGAAACATATAATTGATACACATCTGAGATACTTGTGCAAAAGAATACCTTCAGAATCGTCTGATCCATTGACAGGCTTTTCAGGAGGAAGCTGATTGAACTGCTCAAGTGACATGGCCTGGGGTTTTTCTTTCTGCTTCTTCTTTTTCCTTCCCTCACGGCTTAGAGGTGGTTCAAGACCAGCTTCTATCCTTTGCTTCTGTTTTGAGGTTTCCTTAAAAGGGAAAGGACAGAAAGCATACAACAGTGTTTTTAACAATTTTCTCATCCAAAAGTATTTTAATAAATCAGTTTAACCCTTCTCCTGAATGCAGCCATCAGGCATAGCAAATGCTCTGTGTACTCTCAGAATCCCCACACTTTAAACTTCAAAACGATGTATAACACTCCTAAGTAGATTAAATATGAAAATTAAAGAAAATGGGCCTCTCAAACTTAAAGCGCAGAGACCCTGCCTGTTCTACACTTTATTCCTGCAGCAAAACAGAGCCATGTTTTACCCTACTAAATTTTCTTATATTGCTGGGAAATCATCCAGCAACAAAAAGATAAAGGAAAAACCCAAAAATTAGTGTAGTTACAGAGGCAGCAGCATAGACAGGCTGCTACCAGGAAAAATGTTAAATACCGGTATTACATTTTCAATTACTGAACAAAAGCAACATTTCCTAAAATTTTCAGACAATCATACTAAAAGAGTACACATTTCATGGGTAGAGTGATCAAAATGACTCCTTCATCAAAGTTATCACATGAGATGCAGTAATCAGAAATGTCCACACTGGTTAATGAATATCAAATTTTAAAATGTGGGGGTGGTGGCTGCAAAAGTACGAAAGCTTAATTATTAGTGAGAAATTCTGCCAAGAGTGCGGGATGACACACAGAGCGAGTGCAGCAAACAGCCAAGTCATAACATTCTGAACTGTTCAAAATATGAGAAAGTGATCTTTGACCCTCTTTCTGCGTCCAACGATGAATCCCATTTCTAATCAACGAAACAACTTAATGTACATTAAGCTGTGAAATTTTATGATTTAAAGCATTAATATCACCCCCTCCCCTCGCCAACCCCAATTCAACCTTCACCGACAGCTGAAAAAAACTGAACAGGGCTCTAATCTACTGAGAAAAATCTTTCTCACTACACTGCTCAATTATCTACCTGATACATGAATTTTTTAATGGAATTTTGATCAATACAGACCCGCCACTCTATGTAATCTAAAAATCAGGATTTTAGAGTAAAGAAATTAGGATCTGGTGAAAAAAATAGGGATCAACGGCAAATCAGTCATAAGAGGCAGTGGGAAAAATGGGGTCCTGGTTCCCTTTTATGAGGCAAATATGCAAGACAAAACTTTTGCAGGAATAAGTTCGCGTTTGGGCCTCTAAATAGAGGGAAAACTGAAAGACAGCATTTATGTACTCGAGTCGGGAGTTGGATAGACTGGGGGAGCGCAGGTTGCAGTAAAGCTGAAACTCTCTTAGTCTTGAAAATAGCTGACACATAACTCTAATCATCCATGCAAAAAGCCAGCGTTATCATACAGTAACGTTTGACTTCTATCGCCATCGCATATTATATATACTCACCCCACCCCCGAAAAAAAAAAAAAAACGCACCAAGGTTGTTCATTTATTTATTTTTTTATTCCTTTCCCCTCAATTAGTACCTGTATCACGGCACGCACTTCAAGCCCAAGTGTAAAAAAATACCCCCCCCCCCCCCCCGGTCGTCTACATTGGTTAAGTCCCGAAAAACACCTCGACCAATGCAACCAGTGTGAATGACGGTCCACGACACATGTGCTACTCACACATACGAGGTCACGTCACGTGATGTGAATGAGTGTCTGAAAGTTCCACAGACAGGTCTTGGCGATGGGCCCAACTAACCAGAACTCCGCCGAAGCTTGCTTTTAAAGCAACGGCAGAACAACTAACAGATTATTCTTAGGCCCATGTCATAATTGTTACAGTAATCAGGACACCATCGGAAAATTCTGGGTTATAAAAGCAAAAGTAGATCTTGATCGTATTCAAGTCGGAATTCAAAATCGATACTACGTCGATTTTAGTTGAAATAAAGTCCGTGAGTCATCTACTAGATTCGGCATAGGTGCTTTAGAAAATAGCGTTCCAAGTTCCTGCTGATAAAAGGTCCAACCAGTGCTTCCAAGCAAAGAGTTCTAAAAATCGTACGCAACAGACGCAACGACAAAAAAATCAGGTTACTGGCGATCGAAATCGGGAATATCGGGACGCATGAGATTTGGCGCAAAAAATCGGGATATCCCTATTAAATCGGGATGAGTGGCAGGTCTGTCAATAGCTACTGAAAAAAACGATCTGCACACTAAGATACTCAAAGAAACATTCCTTTAAAGTGTAGATTCATCAGTACAACAGAGAACAGTTGCTAACAGCATCCAATTTTAATGACATTTTCTTATTAGCACCTGTTGTTTTTGTTCCAATTCAAGTCGACTTTGAAGCAGGGCTGAAGCAAGATCATCTTTGAACTGCTCTTCCATCAGCTGCAAGTTTTTCAACAAAATTATTAACTATATTAGACAATTTAACCATAAGGAGTCTTGTCAGGAAAAAGGAAACATGACAAAACTTTCCACATCCAAAGAATGTAACAAAACCAGAAAAACTTGAACCTAACAAAGTTCACTAACTACAGAAAATGACTTATAGTGTGTAATTCTATTCAATTTAGACATCTAGACAAACAGAAAAGCCCATCTTTCACACAAAAAATCAAGACGCAATCCCACCTTCGTTACAAAATAGAAATAATGTCTTTATTCAACACCTTCATTAACTAGTTATTTAACCAGGCAAAAATAACTATTATCTATATGACAACAGCACTGCACCATCATTTTTTTAAAATGCAGTTTCAGTTTTGACAATTTTACCTGACAGCCAAAAACTGAATACTGTTTCCCCCCAAAAATGCAACACTTTTGCATACATCTCAAGTCAATATTCTTAAGAATACAATTTTGACAATAACTGCCTTATTATCCTTTGAGCAAATGTTTTTTTTATTGGTAAGCACATTCAGTTTTTTGGCTCTCCAATAAAATTGTAAAAACTGCACATATTGTATTTTTTTTAAATGACAGCAGCAGACCACACTCAGCTCCTTCAGAAATGCAATCCATCTTATATAGTATAATGTCAAGGGTCGTGCATTTCGCATCATTACACCGAGGTAAGTGAAAAGTTTCATAAGCAGAAACACAAAATCCTAACAAACAATTCTTTAAAAACAACAATCTAAAAACCAGTGACAAATTCAAGGAAATATATACATCATTGTCATTTACCTCCTTGTCATGTTGCTTCCATTGGTCCCAGGAACCTTTCTGGTCTCCACCATCACCAGCACTTTGTTTATGGGACAGGCCCTTGGAAGAACTATTCTTTCCACCACCAAAGGCAAGCTGCTTCAGCTGTCACATGGAAAATATTTTTAAAATTCATAACAAATTTAGCAGATTTACATTGATATCCTGTCCATGAATTGAGTTTCAGGCAAATGAAGCCTTTCAAGTTAAATTCAGATCATATTCTGATAATTTCAGATTTCTGAAGTTGATCAAATTCAGATTTCTGAAGTTCTTCTAAATCCCTCTTGCTGCTGTGAAGGAGTTAGATTAACAACTTCAGTAAACTGTGCTATTTTGCAACAATTCCTACAATGCTTAAGCCTTACGCTTGCAGAAAAGAAAAACAAATTGTCCCCAAATAGCTAGTAAACTGTAACCTATCTTATCACAAAATCAATTTGTGATCTCTTAATCAAAATCCAAACATTTTAGTATTTATTTAAAGGCAAGGAATAGAACATGGATTTTAAAAAGTATACCCGGTCGGAGAGAATGTTAATTTATTTTTTATCTTTTATAAACAATTTCAGCAATTCTCGTTCCATAAATTTACCTTCTCCTCAAAGTTGTGTACACACACACACATGCGCGTGCGCACACACACACAAGCACACGCACGCACATACACACACACACGAACAGGCCAAAGCAGTCAGAAATGAACCTAGATTTAGTGACGTAGCCCATCGCGCGTAAGTGGCAAAGCGGGGTTCGCCACTATGAGATCTAGTCAACTGGCGAGGGAAGCCCCAGAAAACGACAAAAATAGATGGCGGATATACGTCATCTATATTTGGGCCATCACAGAGGTGTGTTCGGTGCTCGCTGTACACAGCTTCATGTGTTTTAAATGTCTGTTTTCCTTACATGGCTCCAACAAAAGGAACAAACAAAAAATGAAAAGACCATCTCAAACATAAACATTTCAGATAAAAAATGTAAGAACTGGCAACAAGCATTAAAGCCAATGAGCAATGCACCAGACTAAAACTTTCAAACTATTTTCACCCACTACGCAATACCCATTTTCAAAAGAAACTGAAAGTGAAACAAAAAGAAATTTTAATGATTCCCTTCTCTGCCCTTACCCCCCATGCTATGTCATTGTTGAGCCACATAAGAAGACTGAAAACTACATAGCAGACAAACAAAGAAAACTACCATTTACAACAATCTAGATCTATTGCATAGCAAAAATAAAAGATTTACACTCCCTGACTGGTCCATACAAGGACCCAAGTACAGGAAATTCATTTTTAAAAATCACTCCTTTCCCCACCCCTCCCTCCTCCCCTTTTCTCTCCCACCCATGCCCTCCAGATTACTCCATACTGATTGTAGTGTAAAAATTATGACCATGAACTAGCAATCTCAAAACAGGAGATTGCTGGTTTAGGATCATAATTTTTTACGTAAAACAGAAAGAAAAGAGGAGTAGGTCAAACAGATTGGGAACAAGGAAAGATCTACACCTTAGTTTTAGTAGAGGTTTTACGGCGCTCGCAACTGCATAAGAGGCAAGGTCATATGAGCGCCAGAAGATTAGAGGTGTTACAAAAGAGTAACAAACATAAAAAAGAAAAAGGGGACTAATGGAAGACAGATGTTTGATAGGAAAGAATGAGTAAACCACACCAGAGCACCTGCCAACCACCCGCGATCTACACCTTGTCTTTCATTACATATATTATTATTATATAATAAGTATTATTATTAAGGCTGTGGCTATGCACACAGCCCTCCCTACATACAGCCCTTAGATTTAGATAGAAGTAGAAGTACGCTCACGGCCTTGATAATAACTCAGCTGGACCGCGTCACTTTATCGATCGATATCTTGGCCAAGACAAAGATCGTGTATAATAACAAGATAGTTCACTCCTCTATAATTGAGCCAATAAACGGACTTTGCAATCAGAGTTACCCTACTTGTGTGAAAATATATAATAAAAGTGAAAGTAACAAACTGTGCTATTCCTATTCTTCTTAGATTTTGGTGAAACGAAAGAGAGCTTCAAAACAAAGACTGCAGCGTCATCTGAACCAATATGCGGACTTTCGCGGACACTTTTTTGGCTGAGTGAACTATTTTGTTCTGTACAATCTTTGGCCAAGAGACGCTCTACGACAGCGTCATCTGAACCAATATGCGGACTTTCGCGGACACTTTTTTGGCTGAGTGAACTATTTTGTTCTGTACAATCTTTGGCCAAGAGACGCTCTACGAGATCAAGATAACTTGCAAAGTCATTGGTCCTTATTTATAACTTTGACCTGTAATTTACTACATCATTTTCCAAGGAATGCTGAAATTTTCCATTGAAAAAAGGTCAGCGTCTATACCCTTTATAGCTGCGCGCTTCCCAATCGAAGTAGGTCATCCCTATATATATAAAGGGTCTGCGCACTTCCCGGGTAGCCCAGCTCACGCCTTTAATAAAGGGCCTGCACGCTTCCAGGGTTTAACTCTTGTCCTGCGTCTGTGCTGAGATGCGAATCTTATCAGCAACCGATTACGTCGGACGTACCGGGCAGGCCGCCGGGGTCATTTAGTGTGTACTGTTGGTGTACAGCACACGCGCCGGGAAACATGCTTTTTCGCCGTGAATACTGTGGGAGTGTGTTAATCGATGATGAAAATAACGCTTTATCTTTCATAGCTTTCTATTTATAAAGTGTTACAAACACATGAATACCCCCCGGGGCAGTGCCACTGACTGAAGTGTCTTTAGGCCATTCCCAAAGGGGGGGTCATTTCTCGTTCAAGCATAGTAGAATTGTAAATGGGCTGACTCATGTCACGCTCATAACTGTGCCTTATCTACAACAGGGAACTGCTGCTTTTTCTTTCCTGATCCTCACTATTGTCATTTTCCTCTACTTCCTTTGTATGTTTGTCCCTCTCTTGTGACCGGCTATTTTGGGGTGCCTTGATAGTCGAAGCAAACCTTCTTGTGCTGCTGAAGCTAGAGAGGTGAGCAGTCTAAGTCTGATTCCCTGTAAAGACTTCTCTGCTGACACCCACCCCTTGACACTCATATGACCTTATGCAATTGCAAGCGCTGTAAAACCCTCTACTATAAACAAAAAAACATGAATAACTCCCTCTCACAAGCTGATAAGACATTACGAGTAGTTACGCCCATTGGAATTACATAACCTTTCTAGACGCTCTTGTTGTTATGAATGACCTGAGGTTCCTAAGGGGATAATATAGCAATATAAGTCAATTTCCAAATGTTTTGCACTCAAATTGTTCTTTGTATCTCCACATTGGTTTCAAAACTATCAAACAAGCTTCTTTTTAATCAGGTAGTGTCATTTCATACAAAATCAAGCTCAATTGAAAGATTTTGTATAGAAAAATGGAAGTCTTGTTTCCTGACTATCCTTTCGAGCACCTCAAGTCTAAGTGGGTAAATTTCTTCTATAATTTCATTGGACGAACAACTCGAGCTACTAACTTGGCGTGTTTTGAACGAGACGTATGCCTCGATTACGAACCAACACAGGCGGTCCTAGAAGAAGGCCACAAACACACACAAACTCAAGCAGACTGACGCACACACACACACTTGACCTGCGTGAATGGGAATCAGACTCGGGACCCGAATTTCACATAAGATGATGCGCGTGCGCTGAGCCAGGGGCTACACTGATTCGGGACCAGAACGAAGGCGAGGTGCCAAAATAGGCTTATCCGGCGACATAAACCCGGCCCTCGCAGGACGAGGGTTAATAATACGAAGTGGCTATGCATACGACATGCGATTAAACGTAGAAAGATGCAAACTATTTTTAAGTAAGGCGCACATCTTGTTTGACTTCCATTTTTCTATACAAAATCTTTCAAATGAGCTTGATTTTGTATGAAATGATACTAGAACTACCTGATAAAAAAAGAAGCTTGTTTGATAGTTTTAAATACCATTATGCAGGTACAAAGAACAATTTGAGTGCAAAACATTCGGAAATTGACCTATTTTATCCCCTTTGGAACCTCAGCTCATACAACAAGAGCGTCTAGAAAGGTTATAATTCGAATGGGCATACACTGTGAGAGGGGGTTATTCATGTGTTTGTAACACTTTATAAAGCTATGAAAGATAGAGCGTTATTTTCATCATCGATTAACACTCCCACGGTATTCACGGCGAAAACACACGTGTCCCGGCGCGCGCTGCACACCAACAACAATACACACTGAGTGACCCCGGCGGCCTCCCCAGCACGTCCGGCGTAATAGGTTGCTATCAATAAGATTCGCATCTCAGCACAGGCGCAGGACAATGAGTTAATTGCTGTTTTTAATTCATTATAAGCAGTTGTCTCTTCAAATTTGATGTGGGATTCAGAAGCTTAGCTAAACAAAATTTATACAACAATTCCAGGTCCAAGCCCGGTAAGCCCCAACCATCATAGATCAAGATTTTATATTTTTAGATCTATTAGATCTAGATCTAGAATCTAGAACTAGATCTAGATTCTAGATCTCTATATATAATATAAGTCCATTATTCATTATTGTCATTGGAATTGGTCCATCTTGACACTTTTACTTTTGTTCTGTTGATTTTGTTTTCGGAGTGGTTATCCGTACAATTGTGCGAACAACTGTCTAGATCTAGATCTAGAATCTAGATCTAGATCTAGTTATCCGTACAATATTGTACCGAATATTGTGCGAACAACTCTGTCTAGTTATCCGTACAACATTGTACTGTACGATTGTGCGAACAACTCTGTCTAGATCTAGTTATCCGTACAACGTTGTACACACAATTGTGCGAAGTCGTCGAAGTGCTACAGCTACAGGTATACGTACAATAGTAGGAGTAGAAAAGGAAAGTCACGAGAAGGCTGCCACTCTTGCAGATCCAAGAAAAATATGTCTAGACTGGATCTAAACAAAAACTGGGCTGCTGAAAGCCCCGGAATTTTAACAAGACGCGATCAAACCGACTCGATTCAGTCAGTGTCCCATTGAGGGGGGGTGTACCACGAAGGGGGTCGTGACTCTGGATCTAGATTTCTAGATTCTAGATCTAGATCTAGATCTAGAGACTCTTTGGTAACAAAACTTTTACAAACAAGGACAGACAATTATAAATATGAACAGATAGACATCTAGAAATCTAGATTTAGATCTAGGTCTCTATGTGAAAAGACGAAAATAAGCCTGTTCGAGAGAGAGTCCCTGACTCAACTGACTTGCAGCTGTGCGAAGGCGAAGAGCGAGTCAGTCAGCAGAAGGAAGAGAAAGCGAAAACATGTTCGTGCTGACCTGTTCGTTATCCTTTTGGTCTTTCTTCTTCTTGTTTTTCTTCTTTGAGGCATTGCTGCTGCTTTGCTGGGCAGCTGTTTTAGACTTGGTCTGTTTGTCTGCATCTTCGTCGTCTTCTATTTTCAAACAAGCAAATCGAGAACTGGAGATCGCAATGCCTGCGTTTCTCGCCATGTTGAAGTTGAAATTTGCGGAAATGGGAGGTTACTGGGAAAAAACTCTAGTGAAGGAAAGACAACTGGGGCAATAAGCCTACAATTACTTCCCATTTTCACAGTGCTTGCATTGGATGGAATGGTCGCGTTGGCAGGGGGAGAGGGGGGTGGGGTGTAAGAGAAAAGAGAGAGAAAGAGAGAGATAGAGAGAGTGAGAAGAGAGAGACAGAAAGATTGAGAGATGTATAGGCTACCCTGTAACTTACTTGGAAATTTGGGAAGGTCAATACAATAATAAAAATATTGGGACTAGATCTAGGCCTATTTATTATAACTTAAATCGAGTAATACCGGTACTTAAGTGCGTCAGAGCGTTCTGCTTCGCCTTCTGTAGTGAGGTCATTTTTTTTTTCTTCGAATGGGTGGGTGGTGTGGCCTTCTCGGTGGTGAGAGTGAAAATAAAATGACAGATGGGAACAAACTGAAAGAAAAAGAACCAAAGAAACGGTGTTCACGTAGATCTAGAGGTGGAATAACAATTAAGAGGGGGAGAGAGAGAGAGAGAGAGAGAGAGAGAGAGAGAGAGAGAGAGAGAGAGAGAGAGAGAGAGAGAGAGAGGAGAGAGAGGGGGGGGGGCGGAGATGTATTTAACGCTCTTGGGAATTTGGGTAGGTAATTAGTCCGTCCAGCCCCAGCCACTTTTTTTAGGGGGGGGGGAGTGTCTTTTTGTGCACTCCCTATTATAACCCCAGTCCCAGCCAATACAGCAGTATTTCAGAAAAAGAGCCTAGCCTAGGCTTGCATTCTAAAAAGTGATGTACACTCTATAGTATCTTTGTAATGAGGTTTAGATAACATCTCTAACAAAGTTTAATGGTAAATGAACAAATATTGTGAACATTAAAGTTTCCATTAGGTTCGCTAATTTCGAAAAATGAGCAACTTCGGTCCTACATACTGCACATACATATACACCTGCTAACAAACAATTAAGCACACACATGCACATACAAACACACACGCTCTCGATCTCTCGATCTCTCGATCTCTCGATCTCTCTCTCTCTCTCTCTCTCTCTCTCTCTCTCTCTCTCTCTCTCCCTTTCTCTCTCTCTCTCTTTTTTTTTCTCTCTTTTTTTTTTTTTCTCGGGGGGGGGGGGGGGGGGGTTGGATTAAGATAATAAGATTATCGCTGCGTAAGATTATACTTTATTGTCCCTGTGGGAAATGATGAGAAATTATTTGACACTGATTGCAAGAGAATTCTTTTCGTGCCCTTGCGAGAAGCCCTCATGAGATTAAAGATATTGCCAAGCCAAGTGTATTGTCATTGTATGTCATATCAGTAGATCTATCTGAAGAGGTACAGCTGTCGCCCATTGAATCCCATTGCATCTGCCTGCAAGCAAGCCTGAACTGGTTTCCCCTGATCTTTTCTGTGCATCCCCTGAAACAACGAATGACAACATGATTTATTAATAGCATATGACCATCATCCAATGAGATAGCTCAGTTCGACGTGTGTAGTAAATATGTCTAAAATTAGAAGTGAGCCGGAATTCTGATTGTAGGCTGTTTACGATGTTTCCTTGTTTCACTTTTAGGGAAATATCAACTTGACCCTTTTTGACTTAATCATACACCAATGCCATGAATGTGTTACAGCATTGAATTTTTCTGTATCCAGTTATGTCTGGCCAAAGTGTACGAGGCAGGAGAAAGTATAAACTGGTGATTTTGGGTGATGGTGGTGTTGGAAAAAGTGGTAAGTCTGCAAGTACAATAAGTTCAGAGGCACAAACAGATCAGATCATTCTCTCAATCTCAGCTGTTGATTGCATCTTTGTGGATATCTACCCCCCCCCCCCTTACTCACTCTTTTGATATTTAGAATTTAGTTATCGTACCTAGTTATCTAACCAGCTAGGTTTAGGTATAAAAGCTTTATTGACTTTTACAGTCAACAAAGTCAAGTTCTCGAGTCTGGACTTCAGTTTACTTCAGTTGAGTAGCGCCTTTAGTCTAGCTCTCTGTCTCTAGACTCTAGATTCTGTGATCTATTATCTAGATCTATCTACCAAGACTTTTGACTTTTGATCAGTAAGATTTCTAGATCTAGCCTACACCAAATGCCATGGACTATCTATGGTACAGAGTCTGATGCAGTTGTAGTCTTTGGTTGATGAAGGAAAGAAGTGTATCGTCGGCCTTGTGATAAAACGAGCAGGGTAAATTTTACAGGAAGGAGAAGGAAAAACCTGTTTTATTTAAAAACAAAGGTGTCTAACGATAAATCGGTGCGTTAAACACCTATAAAAACACTTTACCGAAAAACTGTAGACCTTTTTCCCTTTAAAACTCTCTTGAAACTGCGTGGGTTGGATGGTTATACCATGTCGCTCAAATTTTTTTGGATAAAACCGACCAACCCTCAATTTTGTGGGTTGGCCAGTTTTATCAGGAAGCCACTGCTGGGCTTTAGTGCTGCCAAGCCGCGCTTGCAGGTAACGTATTTGATCTATTATTGTTTCAATCGTCGTGATCTTTTGTGTTATAAATCAGAAGAGGAAGGGAAGAAGAATTTAAGAGGGGTAAGTGGAGGAGGATTTATAAGGAGAAAGGGAAAAAGGAGGAGGAGGAGTAAGAAAAAGAAAGAGGAGGAGGACGATTTTATCGCTACCACTACCATTCTATCAGCTGCTGTAATTTCAATGCCATGGAGTCAATTCGGGCAAAAACAGCAGTCACAAAGTTGAAAATTTATTAGAAGTAGAAGAAGCAGAATACAGCAATGGGTCTATTACTATTATTTAATTACATTTGAAGTAGAAGAACAGTGAGGTTTGAAGGGTAAGGGAGAACAGCTATACAGCAACAACAACAAAAACAAACAACAACAGTAGTAGCAGCAGCAGGCCTTTAGAATTTATGACAATGTCTGACACTGTACTATTGGCACTGAGTGGCCATTCAAAGGCCTGGAAAAAAGTAATACTAAGAAAAAAATGAAAGAAGTAAAGCCACACGCAAAAGCACCACTATCTCAGCAATGGTTTGAGTGAAGTTGGTTACATAATAATATATTATTATTATTATACAAAAAGGCTTTGTATCAAAGAATACGCCAACTTTCTTCAAGGTGCGTGGTTTGACAAGAACTACGTTTGAGTTTTCTCAACAATAGAAGAGCATACTCTGTCTCACTGTGTCCTGTGGCTACTATATCAAGGCATTACGACAAAAAGTCTCCGTTGTTTTGAAAGACTCGACAATAATCAAATTTGATTTGATCGCCTTCAAAGCTTCCTACTGAGGCAAAGTTTCATAGTAATTGTGGTAGCATTGTGGTATGACAGCCTTCAACTCCTGTAGATATTTATACTGGTTGGCAGTTATGTTCAAATATAGATCTGCCTTTGCAGAGAGGTCCAGGAGTAACTGTCGTACACAGGGTGTTAAGCTTTCTTGGTCCTTGCAGCGCCTGCCATTCATCATCAAAGTTCAGCTTACTGAATTTTAAAGTGTACTTTGATGCCTGAAAGTCAGTGACAGTAGGATCGCCTGCTTTTCTCCATTGGCTGATTGTTTAGTAATCTCCGACCTTTGCGAAATCTTTGAAAAAGGTGTGGCACAGGTACATAATAACTTCATAGGGCCTTGGGATGCGTCTGGCTTTGAACATGATGTTTGCGTAGTCCATTGGGTGCGTTTTTGAGCGATCGCTTAATTGTGCTGTGGACTGAATCCACCTCCATTTGGGTATGGCCCTTGTTGAGAATTTCTCCTCATATGTGATGTAAGCTCTTTGGCCAGCGAAGCCATTGCACTCACCAGGGTGGCATTTCTGTTTTGGTTGTTGCACCCATCACTGTAGATGATGAAGTGGTTGAAGTCAGTCACTTGCAATCTCAGGTAGTGAGTCAGACATGATGAAAACTGTTACAGCTCAGACCACATTCACTTTCATCCCAGACATATCTGGCGTCTCTTGTGGCTAGATCCTAAATCGTAAAATTGTGTACAGCCAGTTTTGTTTTATAATTCTTTAGTAATGGTGCCAGGAGGACGCACTGAATCTCCATACAAAGGACGCACACTTTCTTCTCTGGGTTCAATGCAGCCTCCCTGTCCTCCTCTGCTCGAGCTGCAGCTTTCCTCATATATATTCATATTTGATGAGCTGTGTATTCTGTTTCTGTGAGGTTTCCAGATTCGAAGCTGAGTGCAAATGTTGCACTGGTCTTTCTTGGTTGAAAGTAAACTCACATTGTTTTTCTTGAACTTTTGGCAGAACACTTGAAAGCTCAATGTTTTTTCTGCCTCTCTGCACATTTGTCCATGTATACTCGATGCACTTCTGACGTGTTCTAGATTGTCATCTGCAGACGGGAGGGTATCTTCGAAAGTTTGCGAAAAACTTCCTCTTTATGGAACAACTTGTCTTCATTATAAAAAAAGTGATCGATTCCCGTCACTTTCTCCCCACCTCCCCCCCCCCCCTTCTCTCTCTATTTTTCTCTGTCTCTGTCTGTCTGTCTCTCCCTCTCTCTTTCTCTCTCCCCCCTCTCTCTCTCTCTCTCTCTCTCTCTCTCTCTCTCTCTCTCTCTCTCTCTCTCTCTCTCTCTCTCTCTCTCTCTCTCTCTCTCTCTCTCTCTCTCTCTCTCTCTCTCACACTTTCTCTCTCTCTGTCTCTCTCTGTCTCTCACACACACTGCCCGCAGACAAAATTGCACACTGGAACGTTTTTTTTATACTCGTATATATATACGTGCCGTCACGGGCTAACACAATGTTGCGCCCAATTCTCACCCAGACGCGACATAGGGCAATTGAAACATCTTGGTTGGCATGTACATTTTTGTCATATTATATAATCCTAATGCGTTGTTGCGTAATTGAGAGTTCGTCGTTTTCCCTTACCCTGGCAAGCTCTGAGGAGCCAGAGCTCAGTGTAAGGGAAAACGACGAATGGTCGACCGGTGAAGGATCACTGCTTCGTTTTCCTTCATCTCATGGGATGGAACGCTTAAAGCAGGCTAAAATATTGAATATATATATATATATACGATACGTCACTGACTAAAACCGGCTTACTTAAACCGGCAGTTGACGCTCCATCTAAACGACGCTCCGTCTAAACGAAGCTTGAGTGCCGTGAACGTAGCCTCAACGGCGCCTGCAAACTGCATTCAGGGCACCGTGAACGTAGCCACTGCGATTTTTGTTGTCTTCTGGAGTTTCTCTCACCAGTAACTGTTGACAAGATCTTGCCGTGTTTGTTTTTTTGTATTAATTTGTGTTATCTTTCTTATGAACAATTTCAGCAATTCTTGTTCCATTAATTTACCTGTTCTCCTCAAAGTTGTACACACGCACACACAAGCATGTGCGTGCACACACACACCCTCACACAGACAAATACACGTATACACACACACACACAAGCGTACGCACACACACAAGCGCGTGCGCTCACACACTAGCACCTAGCAGTCGGAGATGAAACCTAGTGACCTTGCCCATCGTGCGCTAAGCGACAAAAAGGGATCGCTACGGTGAGATCTAGTCAACTGGCGAGGGAAGCCCCGGAAGACGACAAAAATAGATGACGGAAATACGTCATCTGTATTTGGGCCAGCCACAGAAGTGTGCTAGGTGCATGTATTTTTATCCCAATTTTTTAGAAAACAGTCGAACCTGTCTAAGACGGAGCCGTCTATGACTAAGACGACCACACATTGTCGAGGACAAAAGTGATCATATTAGACAAATGGCCATCTTACATGGTGTCGTCATAATGTAAAAAATATGTACAGGAGGAAATGGGGAGTGGCCATTTGTACAGGTGATTGTCTCATGTCGTACAGTATACAGGGGTGGTTGTTAGGGCAGGTTTGACTATATTGTCTTTCTCACTTAACACCTCTGCTGCTTAAATTGATTTTGTTTTGCTTTCACATCACTTGGCATGGTGGTCATCCATTGCAAAGGAAGCCCATGAGTGTTAAATTCATTTTATCCTATCAAACAGATGGAATGAGGACAGAGGCTTGGCGACAGCAAAGTGATAATTGGAATCATGTTAGCTTCTTGCGACACTTTTTCGAGATGGAAAAGGCAGAGGGTTTCTATTCCAGACTAAGGTCACCAGGGCAAATTTTAAGAGAGCACAATAAGCAATGATAGAGTGGTCAAATTCTTGTATAATAGTTCCACTTAGCCAGAAAAGGCTTCCCCATTTTAGTTAATTGTGATTTCAATTTTCTAACTACAGTCTAATCTAAACAGAATCTTCCCTCTTCCCTCTTTGTAAATTCATCTATGATACACCTGTCTTAAGACAGAAACCTGCTCAACCCGGAAACAGAAAGAGAAATTCCTTCTCTTCGGAAGGTTTTAACGAGTCTAAGACAGAAAATGCTTTGCCCGCCCAGCCCTGAATTGACACTCTAAAACTCCCAAGTTTTGTTCCATGGGCTCCAACCTTTGCGCTACAGAACCAGGCAAGGAAGGTTGAAAGGGGTGCGGTTTGGGGGTACCAGACAGTTACCAAACCCCATCCATGTGAGCGCTGAGCGATGCTGTTGGTCAGAGTGGTGTAGATGTGGAATCTGACCATTGCGTGTGAATTGCTCGAGTGGTGCTGCAGCACAGATACTTTCCTGGGTAGCCAGAGGTTTGAAATTAATTTGACCTGCATCCAGTCCTAATTGTATGGCCAGCCGAGAAAAAAATTCCTTGAATCGTTGTTACGTGCAGGGGAGAGGTGGCATTGGTTGTTTATGCTTATTACATCGATGGGTGAGGCTAAGGGTGGGAACAAAGGAGACATTTAATTGTTTTTATTTTTCATCGGTTAAACAATGGTCATATGAAATGCAACTACTGACTGTTGGCAATGGATAGATAAGACTGATGCATGCCATTGTCAGAGAGCCTAGAATAGCACTTGGGAGGTGTGAAGTTTTGACCCATGTTTGCCGACTGGACAAGCTATCCTTGATCCCACCGTGTACGCTGGCCATCTGTAACCCCCCCTCCCCATCTCCCCAAAAATCCCTGTCCAAGGCAGAAAATGTCTCAGGCCCATTCATATATATCTGGCTCCCTTGCGATTCTATCTTGGGCAGGTTGGGCTGCACACATGATGAAGTAATCTATTACAGTTTGTTTTTCTCTGCAGTCCATTATCACAACAAGGCATTTTAGTCCTGCTGTGTTACTGATACTGTCCATGAAGGTCACCCATCTTAGATAATCCCTTTTCTCCTCAACAATGTTTTTGTCATTTTGGACAGTTTCAGATCAATTTTAGTTTCATTTGTGTGGCGTCAAATCATTTTTTCTTTAATCAGAAGTTTGACTTTTTTTTTGTGCCATATATATAGTCAGCATCATTCCTCAAGCACCAAAGCCATTTTTTTCCCGTCCTGAGTTAAGTTAAGAAAAAGAGAATGCCCTAGTCAAAAAAGGAAATAACAGAAATGAAACTATACCGTAATTGTATATATCTTGTTAAATACACCCCCATCAACACAATTTAGATCATTTAGGACACTAGCTGCTTTGACTCTGCCAGTCAGGGCCAACCGGGGCAGAAAGACATGCGGAGTCCCAGCTGAAAAAAAATGTTTTTCCCACTCAGGAATCAAACTCACACCATCTTCATGTGACTGTAAAGTCCCTAAACCGCTGCACCACAGATGCCGATAAACTATTGTAAGATGCCCATTGATGTCTTTATTCAAATAACAGCCTTGTATAGAAGCCCCCTGAAATTGACTTTGGTGATTGTGGAATAACGCTGACAATGTGTATTTTCCTCAAACTGTTATAATAGCTCTTTTGCTTGTTCATAGTGAATGGTGCTTAATGAAGTAGATAAAATTCTTAATAATGTATTAATGATCTAAAGTTGTTGAATATCTTCTTTTCTTTGCAGCTTTAGTGATACAGTTTGTATGTCACAGATTTCAAGAATATCATGATCCTACAATTGGTAAGCAATTAGTGTTCTCCTAAATAGTCTCAGATGTAAGAGCTCTATTCTTTAAAGAGAACTTTGTGAGCTTCCCACATTTATGTAAAACATCTTAAGCTAGGTCATCAGAACACAGTGCAGTACCAACCATCTGTGGTTTAGCAGCTTTGAAATTTGCTTTTTTCTTTGGACAGTACTTATAATACGGTCAAAAATTTGTGGTGCAACTTATTCTCAAATATCTTTTTAACGGGTGAATCTATGTCACCCATACTTTGCACAGCAGTTTGTTTCAATCTGTCCTAAATCATATTTTTCCAGAACAATTGGGGCTAGATTAAAAAACTTTTCTTCATAAATTTATATAAACATGAAATCTCCATCACACATAAAATGGGATATAGAAAAACATGACTGACTTGCTATTAAAAACAATATTGGCCCAGTTATATATTAAGACAAATTGATACAAATACAAGTCATAGTGCAAAAATTGGAGTGTTTATGTTCGATAGTTGAGGAGATATTTTACAATAAGTCCGGCCACGAATTTTTGACCACACTATAGGTGTCTTGGTATAAAAAATGTTTGTATGATAGTAAATTGCAAGTGTTTGGGAAATACTTTTCTTTACAAGTAAGAATTTGCGAACATAGATTTCTGTCCTTCTGTGTGTGTGTGAGTTGTGTGTGTTTTATTACATATATATAGATGTTTAATATAATCTTTCAATATTTGTCAAGTTCTCTTCTCTCACTAGCTCTTGGATAAAACTTACAACTACTTTTATTGTTTTGGTAAGTGTTTTACAGCGCTCGCAACTGCATATAAGGTCATATGAGCGCGCGGGACACACCACATATTTTCAATTGGTTGGGAACTTTGAATTTTGTCTGGGTGGCGGCCGAAGCCTACTTTTATCGATTTTGGACCACCAAGGGATCTGTAGCGTGCGCAACTTGCACACGGGACCTCCAAGATTTTTCGCCCTTGTCCGAGAAGGCAAGGTGTAGATCTTTCCTACCAGAAGATGAGGGGTGTTGCTGAAAGACAGCAGTAAGGAGCCAGGGAGTAGCACTCAGTAGAAAAGCTGCAGAAAGAGTCAGGAGCCGAGTGAAGGGTGCAAAGGAGGCGAGGGGTGGGGGAAGAAAGTGGAGACGGAAGCAGCCAACAGAATATTGCAAGAGAGAAGGAAAGAAGGTGAAAGGAGACAATTTTAGAGAAGAAAATGTGTCTGTCGCTACCCGGATTCGAACCCGCGACCTTTGAATGAGAGGCAAGCACCTTCATCTCTTGGCTACAGAGCCCCCTTACTTACAACTACTAGACTCAGTTCCACAACAGTTGACTCTCCACTGTTCTCTCCTTATTTTTTGAATAGCGCCTTCTTTGTTTGTTTAGTAGGAGTAATGCTATTATTTATATTAAGACTTTTTATATTGTCAAAAATGGATTACACAATATACATTGGGAAGCACCATGTTCTACAGAGATGCCTAATTGTTTGAGAAGCCATGGGTCTATCTCCAAATATCTGATGTGTTAGAAGAAAGAACGATAGATTTTGAAGGCTAATCAAATTTGTGATCGTATTTCATACTTTTATCTTCAGAGGATTCATTTGAACAGCAGTGCCGTATCGATGATGAGCCAGCTCACTTGGATATTTTGGACACTGCTGGACAGGTAAGAATAGAAATTAAGGGGGAAAAAACATCATAAATTATGAGAATTGCTATGTTTACAGTAGTATAGATAGTACAGCTTATGCCTCCACTTTAAAGAAAACAGTTCGTGTGAAGGGATAGTCAGACCCACCACATATTGGATTTCTATGATGGTGGAGGGTTTTTTCTTTTTCTGAAAGACCCATGTGGTCAATTTGCATAAAACCCTTTTTTTTTTTCTCACAGCTGTTAGACTATACTGCAATTTGAAATGCATGCTACTATGATTTGCTAGAGAAGTATTGCTCATTTTCTATACCTTATTTGCTGTTTTGTCTGCATGCTTATTTAATGGATGTGATACACTCAACAAAGTTCATATGAAAATAAAATGTGTTTTATTTGTTTTTAATAAAATCTTCGCTATCGGGCTTAATAATTTCAGCAAAGTGAATTTGCTGCTGAAAAATATTTATTTGTGTTCATTCTGAGTTTGATACATCACTATTATTGGCTGAGGAGGAACCCATGTATTTCTCAAGTTTCCATTTTCCAAAGAAGAAAAGTTTATGATGCTTAAGGGGGGAGACACTTAAGGTAAGGAGAAAGAAGTAATGGGCACAGCTAAGTCTTCAAGAGGTATGGCCTGCAGTGACACATGTATCATGCTATGAGAGTCAAATGTAAGTTCACCACAGGTCGGTCCATTCACTGGGGGGTTTTTTGTATTTTGGACAACCGTTAATCTGTGTCTTTTGGGATATTGGTGACTCCCTTTTGTTTTCCTGAAACCGTGCTTTTTGGAGGAGGATCTGAGAGATACTGTATTTTTTTAATCATCAAGGGGTTGGTATCTCCTTGTTCTATTTCTTCTTCGTGTTCCACTACAAGTTTTAGGGGTAGTTGAGTACTGGTTCTTCAACCTGCAGTGCAACTTATTTATTTTTACATATTTGCAACTGTTTTTTACCTACTTAGTGGAGCCCCTTACCTTGCCTTCTTGCGGTCACCTTCCGATTTCAAAGGTACTCTGTATGGTTTTAAACTAACTAGAGTATTTTCAGTTTTGGAAGAAATTAATTTAGAATTTGGCCAGGTGGCGGCCAAAACCTACTCTTACTGATTTTAGGACCGCCAAGGGATTTTTTACGTCCACAGCTTGCACACTGGACCTCCGAGATTTTTTGCCCTTATCCAAGAAGGCTAGGTGTTCAGTCTTACCTACCCTGAGATAAGGGGTGTAACTTGAAGACAACAATAAGAAGGGGCCAGGGTAGTAATAGAAAGAGTCAGGAGCAAAGGAGAGAGGGGCCCAGAGGAGGGGGGAGGGACAGAAAATGTAGATGAAAGCAGATGACAGAACATGGCTAGAGAACAGGAAAGGAGGCAAGAGAAGACAATTTTAGAAAACATTTTTTAATTGCTGTCAGGTTTCGAACCTGTGACCTATTGAATGAGATACAAACACAGTACTTCTAGACCACAAGTTCCTCAATGGATTGGCAAATACATAAAGTGCATTATTTTCAAAAGAACCTCTGTGTGTCTGGTCAAAAGCTGAATTTGAATTTTTTTTTACCCTTATTAAAAACAGGTTTCTAATGTCCGAAATAATTTTAACAGAACTTAATTAAGAGTTTTTCAACGTTCTGAAAATCATGTTCTTTATTACCACGTTGTTTCAGGCCATGCTCATGCATAATTGTTTTATTGCTATAAAAATGAATAAAAAAAACACAAGACTATTAAAAATGTTGTGGGTTTTTTTCCTCCTCAGACTGAATTCACTGCAATGCGAGAACAGTACATGAGAAATGGAGAAGGTTTCATACTGTGTTTCTCCATAACTGACCGCAGGAGTTTTGAGGAGCTGGTCGCCTACAGAAATTTGATTAACAGAGTGCGTGCTGGGGAGGAGATCCCCATCATAATCGCTGGAAATAAATGTGACTTGGAGCAGAAAAGAAAGGTTTGAGAGAATTCTGATTTGACAAAGACAGATACAGCTGAATTTTTCCAAAACTGAATTTTGAGGGAGTGAGAAAAAATTACTTTTTCAACAGGTTTCTGCCTAGACAGGGCAATTGGTTTAGCTGAGGGTAGGGGAAGATGAGGTGATTGAGGGAGGGATAAATAAAGGATAGGGTGATTGTCAGTGCTCATCTCGTCAGGCCCCAAGAAATGCCCCAGTTTATGTTTCTATGATTGACATCAAACAGAAATGGTACGCTAAAAGCTAACTGGACTGCTCTCAGAGAGTTCAGAGATCTCAATCTGTCCCCAGTTCACCATACATCACATGCACTTTAGCTTCCACTCGCATCCAAGCCCTTTCTCATGTCCACCTTTCTTTTTTTCTTTTAACCCCTCGTCTTGCGAGGGCCGGGTTTATGTCGCCCGACAAGCCTATTTCGGCACCTCGCCTTCGTTCCAGTCCCATGTCGATCCGGCCTCTGGCTCAGCACACGCACGCCGAACATCATCCCCGTTCCATTCGGGTCCCGCATCGGACACGCATTCACGCAGCTCAAATGTGTGTGCGTCTGTCTGCTTGAGTTTGTGTGCGTTTGTGGCCTACTTTTAGAACCGCCTGCGTTTGTTCGTTACCAAGGCAAATGTCTCATTCAAAACACACAAATTTGATAGCTCTAGATGTTCGTCCAATGAAATTAGAACAAATTGACCCACTTAGACATGAGGAGCTTGAAGGGATAGTCAGGAAACAAAAGACTTCCATTTTTCTATACAAAATCTTTCAAATAAGCTTGATTATGTATGAAATGATACTACCTAATAAAAAAGAAGCTTGTTTGATAGTTTTGAATACCATTGTGCTTGTAGAAAGAACAATTTGAGAGCAAAACATTTGGAAATTGACCTTATATTTTCCCCTTTCGAACCCCAGATCATTCATAACAACAAGAGCGTCTAAAAAGGTTATTCGAATGGGCGTAACTACTGGTAATGTCTTATCAGCTTATGAGAGGGAGTTATTCATGTGTTCGTAATACTTAAAAATAGAAAGCTATAAAAGATGGAGCGTTATCTTCATCATCGATAAACACACTCCCACGGTATTCATGTCGAAAACACACGTTTCCAGGCCCGCTCGCTGTACACCAACAGTACACACTGAGTGACCTTGGCAGCCCACCTGGAATGTCCGGCGTAATAGGTTGCTGATAAGATTCGCATCTCTGCACAGATGCTGGACAAGAGTTAATCTGAAGACACACCACTCACTACCTCCCATGTCCGTTTTGTAACCCACTATAAGTTTGTCACATGATAAAAATGAATGTGTGTTACAAAACACTCGCTGCCAACTGTTGACTGGATCTGAGGGAGCTTTATGGATGGTATCAGAGTACGTTCAAGGGATTTTTCCTCATCAAAAAAAACAGGCAGCCATGGTAATCGATAGAGACACAAGAGACGCAACAAGCTTCTATTCATTAGCTTCCTATGTTTGTTCTATGATGAAATACTCACCAACTAAGCAATACTAATGCTGGATAGAAGAAAGGGGGGGGGGGGTTATAAAATGTGTGTGCATGTCTGTGCGGTGTGCATTGTTTTGGGTACAAATGCAAACTATGAAACAACAACAGTAGCAATGCTATGTAAGTGATGGAAAAGAATGACCGTGAATGGAAGTCAATCAGATGCTTTGACCACATGAGAGAAGCAATGCAAGTGATTGTGCTTGCTGAAAACCACTTAGTGATTGACCAACTTGGCAGGGTTCTCGTGCCTGCATTAAAAACTGTGTCAATGTACATGTAGTGTGTCGATGTTAGCGTCTGTTAGTTCATGCCAAACACCCTCTCCCTGTTCCCCAACCAGCAGAAAGAGTGGAAAGTTCCTCGGTAAAAGTAAATTGTCTCAAGCTGTAAGCCGGTTCTAAAGCAGATTTCTGTTTTTAGAAAACTTCAGTTACACGGTTAAAGCAGCTGGTTTTTAAACTGACTGGGATTTCATGTGGAGACCACTGTGGAATATTTAAATACCGTCGAACCTGCAGTGACGACCACCTGTATAATACGGCCACCTGTACTAATGGCCACTTTCCGTTTCCCCCCTTGTGTTTTTTCTATATAGTTTAACGGAAGGAGCTACCCTTGAGGACCGTTTTCTATATTTGCTGCCCAAGATCAAATCTAAGTACACATAGGCACAGTAAAATCTCTTAATACGCAATTTTATTTTGGCATAGCTACAGCGGTTGCTATGGAAACGGCCGCCATCTTGAAAATAAACATTGAATTTTTAATCCCTAAGGCTTTCTTATTTACTGACCAAATTTTACTAAATATGGTGAGCGTATACCTGAACGAGACCCTATCAGAGTAACAGCGAGTTTTTTTCACTACGTGGAAAAGAAAAAAAAGATATGAGAATTTTCCTTAAGTATAAAAATCTTTTCTAAATTTAGGTTGCGTAATCGTTTGCCAATGAAAAAGTGTTATCTTTTTCGCTAATAACTTTCTGTTACATTGATGACAGACTTGCCATCTATGGTTCCTGAAAGTTTTATGTCAAAAGGACAAAAACTAAGGAAGGAGTAGGGGGAAAAACTGGAAAAAAATTACATTTGAGGAAAAACGACATTTATTGTGAAAATTCACTAAAATAACCCATCTTCATGTTTTCAAAGGCAATTAACAAGGAGAATAAGGACTTTCTCAATTGTATCCATGCTATTTTTAGACAAAACACTTGTTGCTGCGGCCACCTCATTTTATCAACCCATATTCAGTTTTACCTGCCTAAGACGGTCAAACATGGTCTCGCATCACCCGACACTTTGTCATAAATTTTGAATCGGACCCTTACGCTGTGGACGGGCCGTCATAATCCATTTATATGTTGTTATCGTTAGTCCCTCCAATGAATGTTCACCGAAGTTGACCAATGGGTAACAATAAATTTTCAACTGCTGGTGGGGGAAGTGTGTGATACGTCATAACGTATAAGCCCGCCCTCAACTCATACACACGCATCGTATGTGGAGTGACTGGTCGCAGTTTAGTTTACCTATTTTGTAACAAAGTAATAACAATGGACGTTAACGTGAAAGTGCGACAGAAGCGTCACTCGTTCTTCAAACGGTAGCGACCCATGCTTTTGTTCTAGCTCAGAACTCGGTTTTCATCGCTTTACATATTTCATTTAGTTTACACTTTCACCAAAAAAACTACAACAGCAAAAGAATCACACAAAACCTCTCTTACACTGCCCCCCTCCCCCCCCCCCCCCCCCTTTTTTTTTCAAAGGAAAACAAAAACCCTAATAAATTCACCTTTCGGCAGTCAAATGCTTGAGATCAGCCCCGGTTGGGACCTCAAAAGGGAATGGTTTGCTTTCTTCATTTTGATTAGTCCTGTCTAAGACGGCCACCTGTGATATATGGCCACTTTTCTCTTTGACATTGGGTGGCCGTTTCACACAGGTTCGACTATATATGTATGTTCATAGCTGCCAACCAGTGTGTAAAAAACACTTTTAATAGGTTTTTAAAGGTCTAAGTACTGAAGTTAATTTACGTGTCACAAAATTCCATGTATTCTCAATTTTCTAGTATTACTCCTCATGAACTTGTCACGGTTCAAGAAAAATTATGAACTCTCTGTCAAGACCAGATTTGCTAATAATAACAAGAATGAAGCCCATAAATACGTTGTAGTTGTATCCCTTACCATATTTAGCTATTGAGCATGAATTTATTGAATGCAGAAAAGCGTTGGTGAAGGGTCTGGAGGGAGATTAGGAGGCCAATGACCACCATCTTGAACTGCCATGGGGTTAGAATCTTCTTTGGGGGGGGGGGGGGGGAGTTAACAGCTCTGTACGCATAATAGTGTGTTTTGTGGGTTTAAATGATTTTTTCTCTAAGCCAAGTTGTCTTTCCATAGCCATTTTCCCTGCTGCAGTTTTTTTGAGTCCTAGTTAGCCCTTCAAGACATCATATTCAGCTTTAATTTTGACTATATTGTTGAAAAATGAGACAACAGACCATTCTTGAGAATCAAATTCAAAATAAGGTTGCCGTGAGATTGAAACTGTTCTGTCATGTTCGTAGTGAAGTGCCTTGAATACAATATCCTTGACCTCTTGAATGCTTGTAATTTTGAGGATTATATATGTTAGTTACTAAGTTATGTATTATGTTTCTGTTTCTCTTTCAGGTAAAGTATGAAGAAGGTGTGTCACTTGCACGGCAGCTTGGATGTCGATACTACGAAACATCAGCGTATCTTCGAAAGTGTATAGATGATGTGTTCCATGGGATAGTTCGAGAAATTCGGGAAAAGGAGAAAGAAAAGTTTGATCTAGAAATGAATCCTAAGAAGAAGCAGGGTAAAGTTCGGAAGCTCCTAACTTCTTTGCAACCAGCATCTTTATTTAAAAGGGGAAGTTCGTCTAAACATAGCAAATGATGCATTTTGAGGATATCTGCTATTTTACTTTATTGAGACAACTCTTCTTGTACTTCAAGACAGTTTTATACAAATGATCGAAATTCTATTTAAATGGGATATTTGGTGTTCCCCATACTCTGTCTTTTTTTATTGTCCTGAAAATTGTGAATTTTGTAACTGTTGCTCATGTTGACGCATGACCTAAGTGATAGTGTAAGCTGTTGTAGGAGCTGAGATTCTAATAATTGGTTATTATGTTGCTTAGGAAAAGTGCGGAGATTAAATTCTCTGAATAATGTCTCTAAGACAAAGCTTGTATTGTGTGTATATAAGATTTAACGTAGTCTATTTGTCACTAGATGGCACTCTTTCTAAAAAGTCTCCTGCTAATTATTTTTTATGGAAGGAATAACATTCTTAGTTTTATTCGTCTTGGTATGTTTTGAGACAAAATAGGGAAAATGAGCTTGATGTTTTTATATTGATTTTATTTACATATCAAATTTAATTGTGTGTTGACCAATAGAATGTTGCCTATATAGTTTTATAAACATTTATAGTCGGTCCTTCATTTTTTAAAGATAGTTTTCAAGAATGGATGCTACATTGTGTCATGATGGAAAGATTTATTAGATCCTTTTTCCCAGTTCACAAGCATTTCTACAGTTAATACCTTATAGCAGATTATTCCACTGTTTATAATCATATAATGCAATTGCCCTGCTTACTTAGCATGACAACCATGCTGTGTGGTGTTCATGTAGGAAGAAGGTGATGGAGACTGAAGAACAGATAAAAAGTTATGATCAGTAAATAGGGAGGTTTGACTTTCTCTGTGGACCTAAGGGCAAAGAACAGAAAATTATGAATCACAGATGTTGATTATTTAGAATATTTAGGTAGTGCCTTAATAGAAAGATTGTAGAACTGATGTGGATGGCAATATTGGGGGGACAAGCTTTGAATATTTTGGGGGCCTGTCCTGTCAGATGATATAAAACTTAACACTCATAACACACGTGGTGGGGTGTTGACGAGATTGTATGTTTTTTTTAAAATGCAGCATGCTGATAGCAATCTGAAAAAGCTTCCCTCTTCTCTCTCCATAGAAAAGATTACTACTTGTACTATTACAACAAGTGATCTTGCTTGCTTTTACCACTGTCACTTGTGCATCTGACATTCTTACGAGAATATCTTTCCTCTTTCTCTGATATGTGAAACATTTTCTACAGTCATTTCCATTGGCACAACACCTTATGATGACAAAGTATATTATTATATATTTTTATCACTTTCTATTGGCTGCAGATAGAACAGTGTCTTGCTTTCAACAGCATTATTGTTGTGATTCATTGAATACAATTGTAATTGTGTTTTCTGTATTCGTTTCAAGTAACATAACAGTTAGGATTTTCTTCAGTTACTTTGTTTTATTTTCCCCTGTGAAATTTATAATTTCATTGTTGCTAGACCATCACAGAGTATTCAGCTTGTGTTTCTTCTGTTTTTCTTTTACTCCACTAACAGTTTTGAAAAGTTACTTTTGCTATATCTAAGTGACATAAAGTTGATTGCAAACTCCTACTCTACTCAGGCTACATTTTAGCCTTTACTACCCCAACTCTGAGAATTACATCACTCTCTGTATTCAGCGTAAATTACAAAAAAATAAGAAAGTGTCTCCAAGGTGGTTTGAAACATTGTTCTTGTGGTCTGTACTGTTGTGGGGTTCTATTCTGAAATGGGCTTGTGTTTCATCCTTAAAACTTTGATATAGAGGGCCTGTAATTATTATTACAGGTCTTAGAGAAATTAGTTTGTACTATCCATAGGTTGTTTGAGAGCCTTTTTTTTGTTTAAAGTGTACTTTGTGGTAAAGAATGGACAATACATACTTTGTTTCAATTATTTTTGTCGAAGTACATTACTACCCACAGTACTTAAAAGATTTAAATTGAATTATGTTAAAAATAAATGTAATGTTTTTATGCTTATTTATCCCAAGAAAAGTGTGTCAGTAACATATCAGATTATCTGAGGTTTCTTGTACATTTTCCTTATGTCAGTACTGAGCTGTACAAGTAAGAGAGCTGCTTGGGAGATGGATTTTGATGTCGAATTGAGCAACAGTTTGGGTGATGGGGTTTTTTACGTTCGTATTCAAGAGCTTTTATTTCATGGAAGACGACAAGAGATTTTAACCCTGAGAATTATTTTTCAGGTGAGACTCTTGTGAGTGCTTGTGCTTGTGTGTATGTTTGAGTGCATGCATGTAATATGTGTCTACATGTGTAGCGAGGGGGCAGAACATTTTTCCTATTACTGTCTTGGCCAGTTCGGCTGGTACAAAGATGTTCTACCTATGCCTCATGTTGTTCCTTGTCCATTTTTTACCCATTTTCCCCTCTCTTGTTCCGTCTATTTTGTTTCTTGGCAAAGTGTTGTGGGGAAGAATCTTCCTGAAGAGTGTAGCGGCACTGATTGTTCTTGCCCAACAGCTGGGCGTACCTGTGACAGGCTAAGGATTTTTAAAAACCATTTTGTGTATGTTTGTGTTCCTGTGTTCACATACAAATGTTTTCTTCCTTTTCATTCTCCCAGATTTTTGTTTCATATATCTGTGCTATATATGAAGATTTATATCTCTCATTAGGTTGTGCTTGTATTATAAATTGAATTTGTCTTCATGTGAGTCACTTTCTGAGTGAAAAAGGTTGTTTAACTTTTCATTGTCATATATACATGTAAACCTACCCTAGTGCCATAAACCAGTGCATGGCTGTGTGAGTGATGATTACACCTTTCATTTTTGTGAACACATTTTTCTTTTAATAGACAAAGGTAAAATGCACATTTTTCTTTTAATTGACAAAGTAAAATCTATTTAGTCTATTACTATTTACTTCAGGATTGCCTTACATTATGTTCAATGCCCGTTCTTACGGCACTGGAAGATTTTGCTTTGTAATGCTTGATCAGTCAAATGTTTTTCATTTCATCATACTGATATTTGATGTTTGAAAGCTTATTTCATATTATTTTCTTAAGGTGGATCTCAGAGCTATTGCACACCCTGTCATTTCTGTCCCTGTGATGTCCACTTGTCACGTTATTTCACAATTTTTGTTTGTGATTTAATGAATGAAGATATCATTTTACTTGTGCCTTTTGCTGATTTGACATTATATTGTCATTTTCATCTTGGGAGAAGTGGAAGGAAAAGATTTTTTATTAACTTCAGCTTTTTTTCAGTCCATCATCATTGCTCCTTATTATCAAAATCAAGGAAGTAGTCTGTCTTTGATTTGGATGATCAGTCGGGCATTTTTGTTTGTTTTCAGTCAGTATCTTTTTGTTATATGATAATGCAGGCTTGAAAGATTTTTATACTTATAATTCTTGGTAAGCTTTAAGTGCTTTGAACGGAAGTCAAGTAGTTTTCATGTCATGAAGTGAAATAAACAGTGCTGAACCATCTGTTGGACAGAATGCTAGTCCATCTCAAGTTTTACCCCATGTAGGTTTTTCTTCTCTCGGTGCAAGATGGTGGAGTCGGGGGAAAATCACAGTTTCTTTTCCAACAGCACAAAGAATTGCTGGACTCTGCCCGAATCAAACACAATGCTTCTATAGTATAGGTGAAGTTGTGTAACAATGTAACAAATTGTACTTTTTGGAAACACTGAGATGGCTGTTGAAGAGGTTTATGAGGTGCCCTTTTTGACTTTGTGCTATTTTTATATTCACAGTTTTCAGAGTGGAATTTTTGGAAAAAAAAAATATTTTGCTGGAAAGTAAGTTATTGTAAAATTTGTGGGGAATTTCAAGATAAAAGCTTCACTACAACGTATTCATTAACTTATGATTTTAAGCTCTTGTAGTCGCATAATTCCCATAACTGTTGAAAAGAGGAGTTTGTTGTAGCTTTCATACGCTATTTAACCCTATCCGTAGGTCATGTTTTACTATCATCCATATGACGTGGGGAACTCTGTGCCACCACTTTCCAAAGAGGAAATTTACTCGTTAATCCGTTCCGTAAGCTTGGCATAGCAGTCTGTCAAAAGGATTTTTTGAGAAATACTGAATGTTTCAGAGCGATATTCGTTCTAGAAGCATTCTAAAATGTGAAGAATACAACCCCTGGGGTACAAAATGACCCCAGGGCGTACGCATAGGGTAAAAGATTTTGGTATAGAATTACCAGCATGTGTAGTGCAGCAGTTAGGCACTTGGCCATCACAAGCAAAAAACCTGAGGTCGACTCACATGTGGGAACAATTATGAAGTATCTCCGTCTTTCTGCTTGGACGTTGTATCCATCTCAGTGTGAGTTGACCCTGACAGGCAAGATTGAAGCAGCCTGCCTCTTAAATTATGTAAATTGTGTCGATGGGGATATAAAACACAATTATAGACAATTTTAAATCTAAAATTTCCCAATTATTGTCAGTGGTGGTGCTTTTTTTGTTATTGTAGCTTTTATGTAAAATATGACTACTTTTAAAGGACAGATTTATTGTATAAATAAATATGTTTACATGATATTCCCACAGGGAAGCAAGTTCCTGTAACATTTCAAATTTGAAAGTTAAAATATGTGCTGGGAGGGTAAACATAAACATCTCTACGAGAAAGTTGGCTTGAGGAGAAATTTTGAAATTAGTACGGCTTAATACTGATTTATGGGGTTTTCCTCACAACTTAAAATTATGATTGGCTTGTGTTATGATTAATGTTTGTTAATTATTTTACTGGTGCTATACTGTCGGTTAGTATGTTTTTGTATCAGAGAAGAATTGAATCTTTTATTTGTAATGGTGAATTTCTTTTGTCCTGGTGATTTCTTTAACCAACGGAAAAAGATGTTAATGAAAATTATAACTCTACTTAAACTATGTTTTAGTTTTAGTAAGTGTTTTATGGCAATTGCAGCACAATAAGGTCATATAAGTGCCGAAGATTAGAGGCGTTACAAGGGAGTAACAAACACAAAATAGAAAGAGGGGAGATAAGGACGATAGATGTTTGATAGGAAAGAAGGAGCAAACCACACCAGAGCACCCGCCAACCACCCACACTTAATTATGCTTTGTGAACTGAGACTGGAACATAACAATATCTTTGTGTTTGACTTTACACTCATTATGACAGGTTCCTAGGCTCTAGTCCATCATGCTATGGACAGCTGCATCCTGTTAATGAAATTCCAGATTTGGGAGTGGTAGTCCAAGTGATTTAAAAACTTATTTGTGTATTTAGGAAAAGCAGCATCTCGGCCGTATTCGTGACAAATAGAGTGATATTCACACTGATTGGAACATATTGGAGTCATTACATTACCGGGGGGGGACTGTAATAACAAATTAAATATGCAGTACATGCAATAAAATGTCAAAATGAAGATCTCTCGTATGGCCATTAGATATAGACCTCAGCTTTTTGTTTGATATAGATCAAGTCTTACTGGTGATGAGTATTTATGCAACCCACCCGCTTACAAAACCATTGGTGACTGTCTGAGAGTTTTATATTCACTCATAATCCTTGAACTTGCCTTATTTGGAATGGGGAAGGATAGTGGCACTGAATCCAGGATAAGTGTAAAGTAGACACTGTTTCATCACTGTAGACTAATGTTTGTGTCATGTTTGGCCACATTTTATAAGCCTATGATAGTGCATGTTGCTGGTTAAACCAATGCATCCAGGAAAGTACATGTATGAGGTTCTGTAAATTCAAAGGGGACAATGACAGATATGTTCTGCCCACTGTTGTGTCATCTTGTGTCTTCAGGTTTTGCAGTATATTTGTGTTTATTACAGTGCCTTTCTTCTTCATCTTGAAACTGGTCTTGACTTCCCTCTTCCTTCAGCTGTAGCCTTCTGCCATCTGTTCATTGATCCTAAAGTTGATGTCTTTTAAGGTCTTGTCCACCTTGCAGGCATTTTTATAGAGGTAATTACTTTTACCTCTTTCAATAAAGGAAATCTTTCTGTTTTCCCACACGTTCCATGTGACAAAAGTTTCCCAGCCATCTGAGTTATAAAAGTACAACTACTTTGCACTTTTCCCATAGCCATGGGCACAAGGGTACCACAACTAACTTGGCAACCACCTCCCTCCCTCCCTCCCAGTGCTATTTTTCTTTAAATCCCTTGCTCATCTTCAGGCCTGTCCATTATGGAATGTTGCTTACCCGTCTCTCCTCACTTTGTATGGGAGATTTGTCTAAGCAAGCCCTTGTGATCCTGTATAATGTCATGTTCCCTTACAGCTCAAGTTTGCATTGCTTTATTGCGGTCGGTAGGTCGGTCTTCATATATCTCCTATGGGCTACCTCATTCTGTATTTCACTTCTTCATTGGTAGTAGTATGGTCTTTCCATGAGGTTGATTGGAGTTTATGAAAATGTTCTGTCTTTATAGCTTTCATCCTCTTCTGTATGTGTGCTGTAGGGGTCCATGACTCACAGATGTATAAAAAAGAATTCCGATATGTCCAATGAGCACATTCTGTATATGGGGATGTAAAAATACCAACATTTGAAGAAAAAAAAGAGAGAGAAGAAAAAACAATGAGCAACTAAGTCTGATCTTGGAGCTGAGAGTAATATTTCTATTTCTCCATGGAGTAGTGTAAGTACTCGTATTCAAAACATAAAGTGCTTAAGAGAAGAGAGCAGCTTATTGTGATCTCTATCGTTATAATGACCACTGTTTTCAGATTGAAGTCTAGACACTTGATGATGGGCTTGGAAAAGAAGCCTGAAATTCAGATGGGATGACTTTTTTAAAACAGTATTTTGAGAGATGGTCCTGCCAAAGCAACTTCTCAATAATTGAATAAACTTTAATAGTCTTATATGCTTATTTTGAAGTACATGTGATAGCAACTGATGGATCACCCTTTTTCTTTCTTTTCATCAGTGGACTTTCACAAACAATGTTCACGAAGGTAAGCAATTTGCATGATGAGCTTTCCCCCATTCCTATTTTTAAAGTTATGGATAAGGGGAATATGCTCATATTCAAGCTGTGGCGTTTACTTTAAACTCATTATTAAACCTTTTTTGTTCTTTTATCAGAATTGCTGATGATCATAATCTTTTTATATTTTAAAAAAGACATCCTTATTTTACTCATTTTGCAGTTTCTTTTAGCTGAACAGAAAAAAACTGTTCAAAAGCTGTTTTTATCGAATGGGCTGTGAGAGTATACATGCTTTTGTTATAAAAGGTTTTATTTGGAAAGATAAAATCAAATCAGCATATTGTCACCATCGCGATAAGCTCAGTTAACTGCCAAATTGTTGGTTTTTGTTTTTTGTTTTGTTTTTGTTTTTTTGACGAAAGGCATTCTACTAAGCATGTTTCATATATGTGAATTAAAATTTAATATTTAAATAAACAACCAAAAGTGGAATTTTTTAGTAATAGTATGATAAATCAGATAAAACTCTAAGCCATCCTTTTAATAAATCAGTTTTTCTTTCTCCTGCGAAATTTACTCTATGTCACTTATCTGATCTTACCACAATGGCGACGATATTCCTGCTTAATTTTTTCTTTTTCCAGAATGATTTTCAGACTGCCTGCTGTCAGTTTTTTTTTGTTAAAATTTAAAATATTTCTTCATACTATTCACCAAATTTCATATTGTACTGTATGTTCTGTCCTAAGAAGTGTACAGATGTTTATGATGAATGTTGACTGTTGAAACTTGGTGCATATGATGTGGCTTTTGCGATTTTTCTCATGTGAATTTGATGTAAAGCAGCAATAACACCATAGAACGAGCGCTCTATCAAAAAAGAATTGTGAAAATGATTGGGATGTTCATTTATATTTCCGTTGATCCAAACATTTGAAGAGAATTTGTAAATATTCATGGGAGTAGCACTTATTTTTCGATATTTATTTTGACCGTACTATAAAATTCCTTGTTTCCTATCACCTATCATGCTATATCGAAGTGAAACCTTGTACATGTACAGTTATTTATTAAACGTAAAGGACTGGAAATTGACTTGAACAACCTGTGGAATTTCATTTTATTTTGCAGTTTATCAAATTGTTTGGTTTGTTTTTTGTTTTTTTGGTTGTAGTTTTTTTGGGTAAATCAACAAGTGTTTTACGGCACTCACAACTGCATAAGGTCAAATGAGGGTGCCGGACTCATTCAACGTTTTCAGTTGATAGGAAATTTGAATTTTGCTCAGGTGGCGGCCGAAGCCTGCTCTTATCGATTTTAGACCACCAAGGGATCTTTAACGTGCACAATTTGCACTCAGGACTTCCAAGATTTTTCTCCCTTGTACGAGAAGACTAGATGTAGATCTTTCCTACCAGAAGATCAGGGGTGTGGCTGAAAGACAGCAGTAAGAAGGAGCTAAGGAGTAGCGGTAGAAAGGCTGCAAAAAGAGTCAGGAGCCCAGAGGAGAGGGCAAAGGAGGTGAGGGGGTGGGGGCAGAAAGTGGACGAAAGCTGATATCAGAACATTTCTAGAGAGCAGGAAAGGAGGTGAGAGGAGACAATTTTAGAGAAGAAAATGTTTCCGTCGCTACCAGGATGCGAACCCTGGACCTTTGAAAGAGAGGCAAACATCTTAACCTCTAGGCCTTGAGAGCCCCCAAATTGTTTTTCGGGGGGGGGGGGGGGTTGGTTGTTTTTAAAAATGTTTTTGTTATATATTCCTTGGGCAGTGTGAAGGTCTTTGTCTATCGGGCTGAAAGCTATTGGGCACCCTCAGTTGTTCATTATCATGATATAATATATGGTCACTTTACTTTTAAGAAAAAGCGGGATAACTAAGATTTCTGGGGGTTCCAGAAATCTTGACCTACACCAAAAGTGGGCATTGCCCTTCCTATAGAAGTTTGGTTTCGTTGGTGTGTATATATTTGTTTGGTTATTGAGAAAACTATCCTTGTCTTTTAAAGAAACTGAATGAGGGGCAAACATTTTCCCTTCTATTTTTTTCAAACAGCATTTTTCGGGATAGCCCCTTTGTGCTTAAAAGTGACCATATGTATAGAAAGCTGGAAGTTTATACTCAAGTGAGTCAGGATTTTCTTTTCTCTTTGAATGATTTCTTCTTGTTATTTTTTTGATGGTGTGCCAAGTTGGGCCACATGAGGAAAACGCTTTCTGGTATCTATTACTGCATTACAGACTAACAGAAACGTAAAGTAGTTGACAAGGGGTGTCTGTACATGAAAAAGACTGCTGTTCCGTTTTTCTTTCTCCTTTGAGAAGCAAATAACAAACAGATAAAGTACCGTGTCTTTTTTAAGGTGGGCTGTCGTGTAAATATTATGGGTTCCCTTTTTATAAAGAGTCCCCCCCACCCGAAGGCACATGGGTACAAAATCGAGCTGGACAGAAAACATACTAAGGATGGAGAATATAATTATGACATCTCGAAATAATAGTAATGATAATAATAATGATAATATTAATAAATGAAATGCGACTACACAATGTACAGAGGCATCTCTAATCTCTGTGTTAAGCCGCACAGGGAAAGCATTCGTGAAAATAATAAAACAAGGGATAAGACCTATTGTGGAGGGAAACTTTAGCAAAGCCCAGATCGGGTTCCACAAAGGAGGAGGATGCGCGGATGCTGCATTTGCATTATGACTGACAGTAGTGACAGCTATGCGAGAAATCCATCGGAAAATAGGGAATCCAGCATTGTTTTCATAGATCAGGAGAAGGCTTTCGACAGAGGAAGTGTCAAACTATGAAAGACAATTGAAGTGTAGGGCGTCAGAGGACAACTGTTAGACAACGTTAAAGCTCTATTAACAGGAGGATGATCTGGAGTTCGACAGGGATGCTTTTATAAATCTCCCCTCCTCTTTATAATATTTATGGATATAACGCAAGACGCAAACCAAAGCCCAGAATGCCTAAATGAACTTCTGTTTGCAGACAACCAATGTCGTATTCATCTAAACCAACAAAGCCTCTAAATCACACCACCGAAATGAACAACAGCTGCGAGAAATTTGACTTGAGAATAAGCACCTCAAAAACAGAAGTTATGAAAGTTAGCGGGAACCACAGTCCCCTGAACATCCATGTCAATAGTATTAAGTAAACAAGTCAATGTCTTACTCAGTTTTAGCAACATTTTGTTTCTTCTGAAAATGGGTCCATAGAGTAGACCGAGAAACATAGGGGAAACACGAGCTCAAAAAGCCAACAGCGTCAACCATCAGCTCGCACCCATTCAATCTCAACCAAACATCTTCTTGGACACAAAATTAACTTATCACTTCAAATTTAAACCAACATAATAATATTATATATATGCCACCAGTGCCAGACCTGGAAATTAAGTAAAACTAGAGAGTATGTAAAATTGTAAAATTCTCTGGTAAAACCCATGAAAGGAAAAATCACTGCATGCGAGAAGAATAAAGGTTTAAACCCTTGACAGTATATTAAGAAGAGACAGGCAGAGAAATGAAGAAGTAAAAACAACTATTTGCACGGAGTCCTGTCTGCATTTCATAAAATAAAATAGACAATAAAAATGGTTTGGCCGCCTGTTGTTACAAAAGTCCCCCAGCCAGCCAGCCCCAAGAGCCTATAACACCAAGTAGGCTACTCAGGCTATAAAGGAAGAGGAAGGCCGTGCAAAAGATGAATTGAAAGAGTCAAGGGGACCCTGAGAAATTACAGTCAAACCTCGTTATATTGCCACCTCTGGGACTAGCGGAATAGCGGGGCTGGCGGTACAACGGGGTTCCTCTGTGTATGGCCCCGACTGCATGACGCCAAGGAATATAATTCTGCTACGCGATCTGTGTTTGAAAAGTGTCGATAATAATAATAGAGAAAGCTAAAAAAAAAAAAAATTTAGAAAAAAGGAGGGGGGTTGGGATAAAAGATAATTTCTTGCTAATATTAGTGAAGATGGTGCTTCATCCTGATTTTATTTGATGCATGAAGTTTACAGACGGACGAATATGCAGAAGGTGCTGTGGTAAATTTTTAATACGGTAACGAGGGGTTTTTTTTTTTTGGGGGGGGGGGTTTGCAGGCAGGCGCGGTCGACCTGGCACGAGGACCGGGTGTGACAGTGCAAAGGTCAATGGTATCTTCAGTACGGCAGCATGTCACCAACTTTGGAGTCTGGGCGAAGTTGAATTGTCCTTCAACAGAGATAGCATTTCGTCAAGGGTCTTGCTTGGGTGGGTATGGTATCTGTTGAGTAAATATTCTGATCTCATCGATTGCAGCATATCTCGCGCGACCAGTATCGACAAACCATGAGAACGACTTTAGCCCCTTTCTTCGCCTTTGAGTGACTACTGACCTTATTGTGTATGTGGACGGATTTCATAGCGTGGGGTTAAAATGTTGATACAGGACGTGGGCTATGTGTGTGTGTGTGTGTGTGTGTGTGTGTGTGTGTGTGTGTGTGTGTGTGT